GACCGGAAAAGGCGCTTCCGTCCTCGCGCGCGATTGATTGATCCCTCAATCGATACCGCGGACTTTCCCTCCTCTGGTCGTTCACACCGGATCCAAGACGACCCCGCGATGTTTCATCGTTTTTTTTTCGCGATAGTTTCTTGGCGTAAAAAGAAATAAAAAGAAGAAAGAAAGAAGAAATCCGGAGTAGCGAAGATTTGAGATCTTTCTTCGTTTCTTTTTCTTTTCTTTCCTTTATACGAACCGCAACGAAATCGCAATCAACGTGAATTACTCGCGGTCAAAAGCTCGCCTCGAGCGGGGGGGACTTTTTCCCATGCGGGTGAAAAACGGAGTTCCGAAAAGGCCGAGTGCTCGCGGAGCTACCTCCCGTTCGGTGCAGGCGTCGAGTGGCGACTGTCGTTTCTTCCAACGCTCGGCCTGCCTCCGGCCTGCCTGTCCCTTCCCCCTCCTCGAGACCATCGGGAACCGACTACACACAGTTCACGGATTTATGCTATTACCGCACCGTGTTCCACCCCCTGCGCGGCCGGTGCTCTTCATCCATCCATTGCGTTGGCCTGTCCTTTTTTTCTGAACTCCGTACTTTCTCGAAGCCCAGAAGGGCTCGATGAAACTGCTAACTCGGACACGACACCGATCAGGATTTCTCTGTGTACAATTATCTTTATACATAAAAAATAATCAAATGTACAATAAACGATAAAGAATCTCCAAGAAGAGAGTGAAATACAAGGTTGATATTAAATCATACTTTATTTGTACCTACTAATTGTCTAGTTCAGTATAAAAATATGGATTTTCGCAGCAGCGAGAGTATCTTTTTCCAGGCCCCTTGTACCAGAGCCTCGGATATACGATTCGATAAAGTATCTCCCTTGAAGGGTCGACCCCCTGTCCCCATAAATACGAATATCCATGCGAAAAGAATCACGATCGTGCAATACGCACAGCGCGTCACTAACTCGTGCACGTGTGCAGTTGCAAATATAGAAAATCAGATACGTGGATATACGGGGACATGACACAATAACGGGGTTTCCTCTCGGAACCGGAAATCCATAAGTGGACCTTAATGTAAAATAATTATTTGTTTAAAAATCCGAACGGGAAGACAGAGACATTATAAAGTGCACGTGTCTCTTTCGCCATTCCCGAACCCACTGTTGCACGTGCACACACACAGGCGGATTGAGAAATTTTTCCTTCCGAAGACTGCGCAAATTCTTATCTCAGTTATCATTGTATGACTCAGTTCGATATGCGGAACAGACCAATTTTTCATTCAAGACTGAGAAAATAAAAAATGTTTACATTACTTTTTTGAAATCACGATTATTGTTTAGATGCAGAGAATGATGAAAATTAAATGAGATTATCGCGATTGAGCAATAATTAATGCGTAGGGCGTGACGTCTAAAAATGCATCCTATCTTACATTTAAATGCTTATCAAAGAAACGAGTAATTCGTAGTCTCCAGAGTTTTACCTCGTCTGGGACACATGGTGTTCTGCGTGCCCCTTTCTCAAATCCGCCTAATGTGCGTATATGTATCGTGCGGCGCGCGACTCTGGGCGACCCCCTCTTGGAATAAATCAGCCAAGGAAAACCTTCCGGAAGGTATTAACGTCGCGTCGCGGGGCAGCCCTTCGCGTCCGAGAGAGGGTTAAGCCCGCGCCCTTATCTCGCGCGTCCCTGAAACGCCGCACGCCGCGCCGCGCCGTGTGGTCCCGGGGGGAATTTTCTCGTTCTCTGTGCTTGATCCTGCCTGACGCGGACAATCCAACCAACCCGGTTGCAATCCTGCCGGTCATATACGATGCCGGTGGTAGATGTGGGACGACGAAGGAGGAGGATAGGGGGTGACCGAGAGCGGGGTACGGTTGGTCCTTATCGGAGGTCGCGCATGACGAGACAAGCTAATTGTGTTATCAGCGTGCAACGGACGCTGCCGCGCCTCCGCCGCTGCCGCCCCTCAAGCTGTCGCCCTTTCAGCATAATACACGCGTGTTTGTTTTCCAAACGGCGCATCTGCTGCAGCACTGCAACCGCCGTGACGAGCGCGCGTGACTCCACTCGCGCGCGAATCTCTCCGATAGCGCTCCGGAACCGCCGGAAGCAAACTTCTCCGGATGGCTGAGAAGTTGAATTACCTGCGTCGACTGGTCTCGCAGGAATCTTGGAAAAAGAGATTCTGAATTTAAGAAGTAATTCTCGATTTATCAACGTGCGGAGTCGGGGACTATATATCGGCGACTAAAATCAAGATAAAAAATATTACGACAATTTAAAAAATATATTTTTTGACAATTAGTCTTTGTTTCGCTTAAGAAGTTCTCAGGAGAGGATCTAAATCACGAAATACGCGGAGCCGACCCTGCCAGATTCCAAGCCGGGCTCCGTTACGTATCGCTGTAGGTAACGTGATTATTTATTTGTTACACATTAAGTTAACGCAATTCTCTCCAGCGCGCGCGGCAATTACGGTAGCGCGCTGTCATCGTACGAACGATCATTAAAATAATTACAGGTGTCGACGCGGTACCGTCGTAGCGATAAGAAAGATCGGCCGTCGGCGAATTATTATATCGTTGCAACTTTGTTGCAACTATTCGCGTAAGCAAGGGAGGCCACCGCTTTCCGCCCCGGGGATAAGAAAAAGCGCGCGGGGGAGGATCTGCGCGGTGTCCGACTTAATTACGGACGGGGCATATGGACCCGGACCCCAGCCGTAGCCCACTCGCTCGCCTCGGTATGAATATCGTATTAAGTCGTGAGTGAGAGATAGCTCTAGGCAGGGGTGGGCCCCCGGACGGGAAACTACGAATTTAATAGAATAATAAATGGAGCTCTGCGTGCGCGCGGAGGCGGCGGGACGGTGTGCCCGGGGCACAAATCGATTCGCCAATCGTGATCGCCCTATACAGAGTGGTCCGCATAAAGTGTTTAAGAAATCAGAAAGTCGCTATTCTTAATCCGAATTTTAAAATTATATTTTGCTCATTCAATAAGAACTTCGTAACAGGAATCTTAACTTCTGTATTTCGAATTCCGCGTCGATTCTACATTGAGTATTTGTTCTTTCAGGAATTTTTTAATTTCGAAAGTAAACACATAGTTTCTGCTTTGCTCTTTTTCCAAAGTCGATTGGTTGAGAAGACAGAAACCTTAGGCGCGGAATGTCCCGCGAAGGAACGCCGCCACGGCATATAGGTCTGTGGAGTAATACCTAAATTAATAATTACGCCTTCCCGCGCGGTAATTATGTGTACAATCGCCGCGCGTGCAAGAGGGTGCGCGCAGGAGGAAGGGACGGCGACGGGGAAGCTCGTAGGTAATTGCACGCGCGCATTCCCGCGTATCAGTATGCAAGCGTGCATAAGCGCGCTCGCATAGGGGGTCGAACTCTCGGTGCATTTGCCATAATGAATCCCGCCGGCATCGGCACACGCGCGCTTCCGTCCGCGCGCGCGTACGCTCGGTTACTCGCGGAGAACGCGTGGAAACGTTAAGCGAAAACAATAACATAAATAAAAGATATACGAACAGCGCGCGTATCCGAACCCCACGAGTGAGTTGTACGACGTGTAAATGCGCGCAGCGTTGAAAATTTATACGTTGAATCGTATATGGGAGAAAAATGTAGATCTGCATCTAAATTTAACATCCATCGCGGATTTCACATAAATGTTTAGGTAATTAAAACTTGGATTAGATTCCCGTACAATAAACTTTCCTCAAAATTGTCTGAGAAGCAAAGTTTCGTTATCGATTTATCGGTGTAAAGTTTAATCGCGGTTTCTGATCTAAAATGTTAATTCCCAAAATTTCAAATATTTTACAAGATATTTTGTTTAAAAAAATTTTACGAGATAAAATTCGTAA